CGGTGATAGTCGAATGCAATGATAGTTCGTGATCTTTACTGTTTTGCTACTGTATTTGATCATCTAGTTGTTTTATCTTGGAAGACATATGACCAACAAATTCGAGGAGTGGCCAAAAATGTGTCTTAAGGAAACTGTATAGCGACAAGCCTCAATTGTTTTCGATTTGAAGATTAAAATTAAAGAGTATTTATCTTCCAATTGTTTTTCTTTATTTTTAAAGAAACTTTAATTTCTTTTTTATTTTCTCAGATTTCGAATTCCGTCCCGAATTATTACTCCGGTTAACAGGATGTGCACAAAATAAAATCATATGTTTTAGGTTTTATAAAGTATTCATTAGTCAAAAAGAAGTATTAGAATTATACATAAACTCTCTCATTGAATTAAAACTTCTCTTATTGAATTAAAACTATCTTTTTAGAATTATACACAATAACAAACTCTCTGGTTCAATTAAGAGTAAAATATAAATTTCTTCACCTAATTTTTCACTTTTATTTTAATCACTAAAGTTCAATAAATTTTAATTTACTTGTTAAACTTTTGATTTGTTCCTATTTTGGTCATTCGAGTGTTAAATCATAAAAGAGAATATGACATGACGACTACATGTGTTGATGTGGGTATTTTTTATTAACATGATATTCATGTGTTATCTATATCATTTTTTTTTTTTTGTTTTTTTTTCAATTTCATCTTATTCTTTCAAAGATGAAAGTTTTATAGTCTTATCTTTGTGTCACATTTAGGGCTGTAAATGAGACGAGACAGATCGCGAGCTATTCGAGATCGACTCGATTAAGGCTCGATAAATACTCGGATCGAATGGACTCTCGAGTTCTTAACGAGTTGAAACGAGCTACTCGATATTCGACTCGAAAAGCTCTTGAGCAGCTCGAAAATATAATATATTAAGATTTTATTTAAAATAAATAAATAAAATAATATTAATATTATGTATTGATTTTTTTTTAAAAAAATACAGTAAGATTTCATGTATTTAAGGTTCATGTTTGAGTTTGAGGCTTCAATCGAGTTAAGTTTAAGAATTTTTTTTTCATTTCGAGCCTTTTCGAGCTGCTCACGAGCTTCAGTTCAGGATTTCGAGTTCGAGTCGAGCTTGAAAACTTTAAGCTCACGAGTTTTCGAGTCGAGTTGAGCTTCATTTCAGAGTTTTCGAGTCGAGTCGAGCTCAACAATACTCGAGCTCGACTCGGCTCGGCTCGTTTACACCCCTAGTCACATTAGTGCCACAATTAACATTCTCCTGAGTCTTCTTTGACCACTCAAAATATCAACGAACTCATCTATTTGTCTGCTATCACTCTATAAATTTATATTTTACCTAATCACTTTAAAACTCATGGAACTTAAACCTAAACCAAAACTCAAGAAACTCTAATCACTTTAATATATGATATTCATCATTTGATCGATGTGGAATAAAGATATAACTCACTTCCTCCTCCTCCACCTCTCCACTGGGATGGACGAAGATGTTCATCATCGAGAAATCAAAGGGAATTCAACGTTAGTGGTTTTTCACAAAAAAATGAAGAAAGTTTTGAGATCATTTCATGAATTTTAAAACAAAAATATCATGTTATAATGTTGTTAAATATTTAATGGCGTAGAGACCAAAATAGGAGCAAAGTGAATATTTTTAAACTTTAATGACTAAAATAGAAGTGAGTTATAAGAAATGCTTTAGCCAAAGCTGGTATTTATAGGATAATTTGGAGCCACCCAACTGATACAAATAGATGTTTATGTTTAAATTCAGATACATAGGACGATTAGTGGTGTTCATCTGTATGCACCAGAATGCAACCATTCAAGAGAACTCTTACACTTTGAGAATCGGGTTTGAAGGCCAAAGACCGTCGGGTACATGCCACCGCACATCAACGCCTTTCAAGAGGTTTCCGTAAATACCAGAAGTGGACAAGCCACTACTATTGGGAAGCATGAATGGGAACTGCACTACAAATCTGCACAAGTGATGGAAATAGGACATGTTTGAATAATCTCCCGGAATATAGAAATAGGTCCATGGAGAGGAAGAGCTGGTGGTTTGGCAACGAGAAGCATCAACGTAAACTGACGAGTTCAGATTTGTCGTGCAATTTACCACATACATGGTGTAAGCTGGGTATATTATATCTTCATCATAGTTGTTGTACGTAGGTATGGAACTGGAAGGAATTGAGCAGTTACCGTCGACCAGACTCGCATCCACAAGTCGAAGCCTTTGGTTAACGTAAGAGATGACTAGGACATAAAAGTTCCCATATTTCATGTGAAAACTGACCGTGCGGTTTCCCTTGCACTCAAGTTCAAACCTTTTGTCACCGCACTTTTGAGGCTGACCTTTCAGTCGAAAAGGCTAACTGATTTCAAAGTTTCCTCACAAAGAAAAGGCCGCATCGGTTGCTTCTGCCTGGTCTAGCATCGGAAACATCTGGGGATAGAGATAAAGTAAGGCCCAAGAAGCTAAACAAGAGATGTTTGGGGCTTAGCATCATGAAGTTCCGGTGGAGCTCCGATGGGAAATAAACAATGGGGTGTTCTTTTCAATCTTCACTGCCAATAAAGTAATATAATATAAATCAGCCAACCAATAAAGCAAACGTGGAAAAAAAAGGTCAGTATAATATAAATCAGCCAACTAAGAAAGCAAACGTGGGGAAAAAGCTCTATATAATATAAATCAGCCAACTAATAAAGCAAACGTGGGAAAAAAATGTTCAATATAATATAGATCAGTCATTGGAAGCTGACTAGTAAATCAACAATCGGACTGCGACTGGACGGCCGATGGATCCCTTAACGGTCCCCCACTACATTATATTTTTTGACTGTCTTGTCACAGGTTTGAAATCGGAAAAGGAAACTTCCGGGAAGCTGACCTGAGCTATTTCCATTTAACACAAGACAAAGCATTGCTATTGGTAAAAGCAGCACTTGCGTAATCTGAATTTTGAAGAGCTGAAATACAGATAACAATGGAACGTTTAGCTTCAGGGACTCACAGGTTTCTAATAATAATGGTAATGTTCTCATTATTCTGCCTTGTTTTGATTGTCAATGTTGCAGAAGCTGTCTCAATCCAAGACGACTGCCACATCCGGCAGTGCAACCACAACGAGCCATGCGTCCGGTTCCCGTTCCGATTATAAGACCAGCAGCCACCCAACTGTGGCTATCCTCATCCCGGGTTTCAACTTTCGTGCTCAGAAAACAACCAGACCCTGTTGAAGCTTCCACGTTCGCTGTTAGTGAAGCACATAGATTATGAAGCTCAGAAGATCGACTTGTACGATCCCAATCGTTGCCTCTGGCGACAGCTTTTAGATCTCAATTTATCTACTTTTCCATTCTTGGACCTGGACCAGCAGCTAGGTTTCAGCCGCTTAAAAGTTTATCAATCCCAACCAGCATCATCCTATACCTTGTTCGAGTGTTCAAGCAAAGACAAGGCTTTGTACGAAAGAAACAGAGTCGCTTGCTTAAGCACCTCTGACTCACAAATCCTAGCTTTTTCTTCTGATGACTATTCATAATATGATAACTTGTTGAACTGCAGCATGATCGGCAACTTCTCGGTACCAATTTCTCCAGATCCTATCCGTTTTCAATTACGCTGGAATGAACCAGACTGTGGTGATTGTGAAGCTCAAGGCAAGGGATGTAGACTGAAGAGCTATAGCACAAAGGATCAAACCGAGTGTTTCTACATCCCAAAGCTCCATATAAGTATGTCTTTAACTTGAACGAAAGAGCCCTTTTGCTTAATCTCCCATGTACCAAGCTGAATAATTTCAATGTTCTGCAGGTGCACGAGAAAGGCTGATGATTACTGGTACATGGAATTTTCATTTTCAACTTTAATTTTGTTAAGACGGATGATAAAGCATGATCTAACATGGGACTGATGTATGATTTGCAGGTATTGTCTTAGGTTCTTTGGTTCTTGCAATGGTTGTCACTGCAGTTGGCTGGAGATATTACACAGAAAATTTGCAGAAAGAAGGTGAACTCAAGAATGAAAAGTTTTTGGAAGATTACAGAGCGTTTAAGCCCTCCAGATACTCCTATACTGATATTAAAAGGATAACTGATCATTTCAAGGACAAACTTGTACAAGGAGGTTATGGAACTGTCTTCAAAGGCAGACTTTCCACTGATATTTTGGTTGCTGTCAAGGTACTCAATGATTTCAAGGGAAATGGTGAAGAATTCATCAATGAAGTGAGTTCAATGGGCAGAATCCACCACGTGAACATGACTCGCCTGGTTGGATTTTGTGCCGATGGATACAATCGAGCTCTGGTTTATGAATACCTACCCAACGAGTCATTAGAGAAGTTCATATTTGCAGCCAAGTGCGAGGATCGATCCCTGAGTTGGGAGAGGCTTGATGATATTGCTCTCGGTGTAGCCAAAGGTATCGAGTACCTCCATCAAGGTTGCGAGCAACGAATCCTCCATTTCGACATCAAACCTCACAATATTCTGCTGGATCACAAATTTAACCCTAAGATCTCTGATTTTGGCCTTGCTAAATTGTGCTCCAAGGAACAAAGTGCTATTTCAATGACAACTGCAAGAGGAACCATGGGATACATTGCACCTGAGGTACTGTCTCGTAACTTCGGCAATGTCTTGTATAGTCTGATGTTTATAGTTACGGAATGTTATTGCTTGAAATGGTCAGAGGGAGAAGGAACGTAGATGTTAAGGTGGAGAATACAAGCCAAGTGTACTTCCCGGAATAGGCTTATAAGTGTTTGGATAAAGGTGAGGAGTTGAGGATCAGAATTGAAGATGAACAAACAGGGGTCGCAAAGAAGCTCTCCATTGTTGGCCTTTGGTGCATTCAATGGTATCCCGTCGATCGTCCTTCGATAAAAGAGGTGGTTCAGATGTTAGAAGGTGACTTGGATGTTCTTACAATGCCTCCGGATCCTTTTGCATCAACAGATCCAATGAAGATGGGAAGCAGCATATCTAGGAAGTCGGTTAACTGAGAGCTACCAGCTATATCTGAAATAGATGAACAACCTCAAACCTAGAAATAAATCATTGATAATATTCCAAACCTATGAATATCAGTTGTATATGCGATGCCTCCAGCACTTCATAAAACATAATAAACTATCTATTAGTTAAGGGGTATTATGAAATTAATTGTGTTTCCGCACATAAATAAAATCCAATTTTAGGTCTTGTAAAGCATTATAATTATACCTAAATTCTCTCATCGAATTAATACTATCTTTTTAGAATTATACACAATGATAAACTCTCTCGTTCAAGTAACACTATCTTTTAAAAGTTCTCTCCTATTGGTATTGGCCTTTTGGTGGGAAATTATAAGTAATTAAATGGATGGAAAGGAAGGCAGATTCAGATTTTATACTTACAAAAATCATATATTACAAAGATGGGAAAGCAATCACGTTGTTATGCTTTGTCCCATCACTTTCTTAACACTCTTCTCCTTCATCAATACTCTTATTTTCTCTACTTCATCCCATCTCCCTTCTTCCGCATAAATATTCGACAACAATACATAATTACCTGAATTCCACGGTTCAAGATCGATAAGCTCTTTGACAGCAAGTTCTGCAAGCTCTAGTTCACCATAAGTACGGCACGCACTGAGCAAGGAACCCCATAAAGCAGCATTAGGAAGAATATGCATGCTCCTAATCAAGTCATAAGCCATTCTCATGCATCCTCTACGTGAGAGGAGATCAACCATACATCCATAATGCTCGAGTCTAGGATCAATGTCGTATTTTTTGCTCATTAAAGCAAAAAACTCTTGCCCTTTTCAAGCAACCCTCCATGCACACAGCATGTTAGCACCCCTATAAAAGTCGCATCATTAGGCCTTGTACCATTGTTCATCATCTCCTCGAACAACTCCACCCCAAGTTCCTCTCTTCCGTTAAAAGCCGTACCGGAGATCATAGTGTTCCATGACACAACGTTTTTGCAAGGCATGTCTTTAAAGATCTGAAGGGCAGTTTCCAAGTTTCCACATTTACTATAAAAATCAACCAATGCATTTCCTACGGAAACCACGTTTCGGTAAAGCTTACTCGACTCTGCATAATAATGAATCCATTGACCAATATCAACAGCCCCTAAATGAGCACAAATAGGCAAAACAATAACCACTGTAGCTTCATCAGGTTGGAACTCAAGCTTCATATCCTGAAAAAGTGCCAAAGCTTTGCTATGCCTCCCACTCTGAGCCAAGTACGAAATCATCGAGTTCCATGAAACTACATTCCTCTCACTCATCTGCCTAAATAAAGTTAACCCCAAATCAACGTCCCCTCCCTTGCAAAACCCACGAATCATCAAATTCCAAATTATGACATCTCTTTTAGACATTCCATCAAACACCTTCTTTGCTTCTTCCATTCTCCCACTCGTACAATACAACTCCAAAACCCCAATCTCAACCGAGCCAAAACGCTCGAACCCAGATCTAATAACTTCCCCATGAATGCATTGTCCGATTCTTACGTCACAAAGACCCGAACATGCCTTGAGCAAAGGTGAAAACGTGTACTCGTCCGGGAAAATCCAGTGTGTTTTCATTAAAGAAAACAATGTAATAGCTTCTTCAAAGGGACCATTAAGGGAGTAGCCTTTAACCATGGAATTAAAAAGCAAAATGCTGGGGGTTTTGGTCTGCAAAAAGACAAGGTTCGCGTAGTCCATTTTGTTTAGGTGGCCACAAACAGAGACGAAATGGGAAATTATTTGATTGGATTGGTGCAGACATTGACGAATGAAATGAGCATGGATTTCCCGGAGGTTGTTTCGAGTTTTCCGGCCATGGAGGAGGTGGAGGATCCTTCGCTCCACCGCCAGTGATGCTCTGCTCATTATGCAAGTTGATGTTTTTCAGTTTTATCTATCGAATTCGAGTATATATATATATTGTTTCGAAACCAAGTTACCTGGAATTGTTGTTGAGTGATTGAGCGTATTCCGGGTATGTTTCAAATATCGAAAAATGAATTAAATTAAATTATATTTTATAAAAATATTTTATAGAAAATATTATGATACTATTCATTTAAAGAATAAAATTAATATATTGACTGTCCGGGTACATAAAATGATAACGTATGTAATTTTTGACACTAAAATTAGTCAAAAAATATTTTAGACACCTATTCGTGAAAAACGATATTTGAACAGTTAACTTATATTAAAGCGTTTGATTAATATGTTTTGAATATTATAAACGTCACATTTCAGCTAACATTTAGTGCTGCGATTAAATTGACAAAAGAACCTTAATTACGCTTTGAGAGTCCAACCACAATATTTTTAGTTTAGTATCGAATTAAAACTTTTACTATAGTTTAAGGACTTAAGATGTAATTAATCCACTTATTTACCGATTTCCATGCAATTCAAGAAAGGTAGTTGATTATAGGAATATTTCTCAACTTTGGGTTGTAAGTAGATTTTGAAATGACCTAAACCCTAATTACCAACCCCTCCTATAAGAAATTGTAAATTAATTAAGAAATGTCCGTCTTGTGATGAAGTAAAATCAAAGGCTTAAATTAATTATGATTAGTGTTTTTAGTAGATTTAGAATTAGCACAAAGAAAACTATCTTAGTCGTTAAAGAAATATTGTTATCTTTTGAGGATTCGAGTTCGAGTATGATATTTACAGGAGTGCATAAACATTCATTGTCAAATGATTGAGAGTCTTTCGAACATATATTACCTTGTATTTATCGAGTGGTCTTAGACTCTTAGTGGTAGAAATGAATGTTGTTCTCCTTAAATAATACAAGTTTAAACAATTACATTTTAGCCTTAATTATTAGGTAGTCCCGCAGAATTACCCTAATCTCAAAGCAGCCTTAAAATGATAAATCAGAAACTAATTCATCAACTAATGAAGTTAGTATGTTCTTCTGAATCTCCACACCCTGTTCCAATGCTTCCATGTCAAAATCCAGCCATCTCCCATGCTTTGTGCTCATGTCCATGTCTACAATATCATCCACCATTGTGTCCCCCATGCTTTTCCAGCCCGAAATCTCTTTGCTCAACTTGTCGTCCAACCGATCCGGTTGCTGTATCGTTTTTTCCCAGTTAACACGTCCTTTGCAGCTTCCGACCAGAACCTTTCGGTACCTCGCCTCCAAGCATTCACTCACGTAATCGGGCAAAAGCTTTTGTGCAAGCTTGTAGTCTTCTCCGTTTCTCTCTGTTCCATTCGGATGCTCGAGTTGATTGAAGGCCTTCAGGGTCATTACCTTTTCGGTCTGACCCGATGCATATTCTTTGAACAATAGCTCAGAATCTTTTAGCACCATTTTCACAAAATCGGCTTCCCATTTGATTGACTGTTTATAGTCCGTGGAATTTGATGCCATAGTTGAAAGCGTTCCGTTCGTTTCTCCCGCAGGTTTGGAAGATGCTGAGTCGGTTAACTCCGTACCGATTTCTGTCCGAGACTCGCTTCCGGAGGCCCCATTTAACACTTCTTGATCTTGATCCGACATCGATGTTGTGGTGCCTGCAAGCATAGAGTGTATGTGTTGGTTAGAGCATCAGTGAAGATATAACCAAATATAAGTATCATGTGAAATTCATAAACTAATACAAATCGTTGTAAATTTACGAGCTTTTCACAAATAGCATTGCACCGATTCTTGGACTTCGTCCGACGATTGAATCACAATAACATTACTAATAGCTTCATGGCATTTTCTACTCAAATAGGATACGCACGAAAAAAGGGTTCAAGTGGCAGAAATGTGGAACTGCAAAGAGGGAAATAAGAATAAGAAGGGTGCAGCTTACAGTTTCTGCTACTCGAGCAGCCAGCGCTAGTGACAGCAGGTTCAAGAGCTGAAAGCAGGACAGGATGTCGGTTATCGACTTCTATGCCAGTCTCGCTGCTGCTGCAGGCTGCATTTTGCTCTTCGATTTCTTCGGACTGCTGGCATCGTGCAAATAAATTTAAAGTAATATGTCATCATTATGTAAGATTGAAAACTAAGAATACAGTTTCATCTCTTGAAACTAGAGATGTGAAAGACAATAAACTGGAAAGAAAATCAATTTAGATGTCTTCGAAACCTTCTCTTATGTGCAAATCGTAGCAGTGAGTGAGTACCTGCCACTTCCTTCTCCAATCATGCGCCAGGTTGTCAGAAGATCGGTCCAAGTCACCTGAGCTATATGCAATATCATTATCTTGATCCACCGGAAGCCTTTCGTTATGTGCTGCCGATGTTGTGGTCGCCGGCACTGAATTTTTCAAAGTGGGTGTAAGGCTAGTAGAAGTCCCCTCTATGATGATATTGCAGTTGGATGACTCGATTCTGCTTGTCAATTCCTGAAGCTTTTTCTTCAAAATAGCACTCAGAGCATCTCCGCCAATTACATTGAATCCAGGAAGATAATGCCGAGCTTTTCGAAAATAGCATGTCACCAGAAGGATCGGTATAAAAGCTGCTGCTGCAGATGTTTTCATCAACTTTACTAGTGGAAGATACGTCAGGCATGGATCTTGATATGGGGGATGTAAATGTAAACGAAACAACATCCGTGCTTGTTTTCTTTACATGTGCATCCTGATTCAAGTGTCCATTGGTTGTAGCATTACATTTTATGACCTTTCACAGCCGTTTCTAGATGAAATATCAGGAACAATTTGTCCAGACGGAAGATCCTCATTTACGGGGTGTTTCTTTCTAGGCAAATTCTTTCTTCTAGACATCGGGACCTCCTTTGCAGTATCGGTCACCACTGAGACCGTCTTCCTGGAATTTATGGTCCTATTAGACCCTGATGTACCATTTATGCACCTCACGTTTCTACCTTGCTGGTCCGAGGTTGAAATCTTAGAAGTTGAAATCTTAGAGGTTGTCATCCGTCCCTTTTGTTATCGGTCTGACTGACTTTGGTCACCAAAAAAGAAATTAAGGGGAAATGATATCTTACGTTATCGGTCATCCGGTTTAAGTCTCTATGCTATTTATTTTGTTTAGCCCCTTTTATTTCAAGTCAATTTTGTTGAAGTCACTAACATGGTTGAAGGACTAAAATCGAACGGACTAATAACGTTAGGGACTAAAATCGAACGAACCGATGACGTTAGTGGCCATTTCCTCTTAATTTTTTTGTCGATTAGACCAAAAACTTGGTGGATTATCAGCATAGTTTACCCAAAAAATCGAATTTAGAAAGGTTTTTGTCAATAAAAGGATACATATAACTATCTTAATTTTTTTTAATCAACTATCTATCTTAATATTAAAAACTCATTGAGCAGTCTCAATGGCAAAAGCAAATATTGTTCTCCTTATAAGACCTAGGTTTGAACAACTGTCTATAGACTATAATACATGTTTTATCAATAGGTTAGTAGAATTCTGATCATATAGTACCTTATGATCACTCTAAACTATTAAAAATAGAGTAAATTATACATTTAGTGCCTAAACTATCAATTTTGATCTATTTTAGTACTTAAACTATCAATTTTGGTCTATTTTAGTACCTAAACTAAGATGTTATCATTTTAGTACATTACTGTTAAAAACTTCAATTTTTGTTTCATTTTATTATCCCGTTCAAAATTTAACGTTAAGCTTTGAGAAATATTAAAAGTTCAGGAATTAAAACAAACCAAAAATGATAGTTTATGTACTAAGCACATTAAGTTTTTAGCGATAATGTACTAAAATGAAATAAAAACTAAATGTTATGTATGATTTTGAAAAAATTAAAAGTTTAAGTATTAAAACGGATCAAAACTGACAGTTTATGTATTAAATTCGTAATTTACCCTTAAAAATATTAGAAATTAAAGGAGGAGGAAAGCCGTTGGAAAAGTAAAGTGAAAGCAACATGTGATGACACGTTAATCATACTAAAACACTTACAATTTCTTTTTCTAAAAGAAATAATGGAAATTTAAGCACTTTTTTTCTTCACCTCTTGATATTGTCAGCAAAATATTGCAATGCCCTTGCCTTATAGCTCATCCTGCACCCAAAAGGACAAAAAATTAGACCAATATGCATAATGTACACTACATGGCTAATAATTTTCGATGGACGAATATATAACTTACATGTTGTACTTCATCTTCCTCAGCACCGTCTTTGATCGAGTCCGACTTGGTATCAGAATCGGACTCGCTTCCTTCAGCATCACCGGTATCATCATCCTCGTCCTCGGCCTGAAAGGAGGTTAGTTAACACCATGAAAACAAGAAGAATATAGGAAACGGTGAGATCATGTTCTTAGAAGGGCATTTCGTATGCTTACATCGGAATCAATAGGATCATCCTTCGATTCCTGGACATCACGTTTGATTAGTTGGGAAGAAAATTCAATAATCGACAAATGAGACACTTCCTAGTTAAAAATAATACCTCTTCCTCTTTCTTTTTCTTTTTCTCTTCCTCCTCGAATGCTGCCTTCTCGGCCTGCAAAAAGGCAATAACATAACCCACATTCATATGACAAAGCCAACTATGACATATATATTCATTCAAAATACAGAGATGCACATACATCCTTCTGCTTGCCCCATGTTTCTTCAGCTAGTTTCTTGGCATACTCCGCATCATCGGCAACTAAGATGTTATCAAACAGTGTTCCGGATTTCACCTGACAAACGACAAACATTTATCTTGTTATAGTTGAAAAATAGCACCGAATAGTGAAACCGGGGGAATAGAAAGAAAGAAGCAAGAGAATACCTGCCACAGCTCAATACCAACATACTTCAAGTTGGGGAAAACATAGAGATCGGGATCATCCTTGAAATCTGTGGGTCGTAAGAAAACATGGTAATAAGTAACCCTAAAATAATGTTGTTAAGAACAAAAAGAAAAAGGCTTGAGAGGAAAGGAATAGCAATAACCAGGGTTGTCAATCATTGGTGCCTTCCACTTTCCCTTGAAGTTAGGGTTCTTGATTTTCTGCAGACAGGAAACTTTGTTTACATATACTGATTCGAAAAACAATATTAACATGCTGCATGCAGATAAGGATTTCACAAACCTTGGGCTCCCACGGGCCCTTGTATTCAGGATTGGGAATGGTTGGGACTGTCCATTCACCATCTTCTTCTTCATCCCAGTCTTCAGGCTGGTGCAGATGATTTTAACATTAATCATTACTATAAAAGAAGGCATACAACTTCATAACAAAAGCATCCTAAAGAATTAAATGACTACCTTCTTAGCATCAGGGTCTGGAATCTCTTTGGGATGTCATCATATCCCTATAGTAATCAATCCACTAGAGATTAGCTTGCCTATGCATTTTCAGGTAGTATATAGAAAGATCATAAGAGAATGGAGGAAGGGGAAAGAAGGTTATTACCTCGGGCTTCTTATCCTCGGGATCAGGGATGAATTCCTTGTCATCCCAATCTTCAGGCTGCCCATGATGCAAATCACTTAGGTTGTACTAAAATTTCTATGACAATAAAATAAACCAAAACGACATCGATTGAAACTAGGTTCGGCCAATTACCTTTTTGGCCTCAGGATCCTTGATTTTCTTTGGTGGGAGAAGATCCCAATCGGTGTACAAGCTACCAGTTTGTTTCTCAACATTATCAATAAGGATGCTGTAGGTAGCATCCGGACGGAGAATGAACGTATAAACGTGAGTGAGTTGGTCAGTCTCACAAGGAACTTCCTTTTTGATCAAGTGGTTTGTCCCGTTGTAGGTAAGAATAGCATGCACTTTCTTGGTGCTATAGCCGCAGATATCAGGCCCAAACATGATGCTGCAACCAACCAAAATAACAAAAAATCAGTATATCAATAAAAAATAATATCATTTAGAGATACGAGTAGGTTGAATCATGGGATGCAACAACCTGTATGGGGTTTCACCACCAAATTTCTTCTGGTCAATGTCACCGCTGATCAACTTCATGTAGCCGCCACCACAATCAAGCTTCTGCTCATGCTTGACAGAAAATTGGAACACTAGAGTCTTATCCTTGTTGTTGACTTCTGGGAACTCAGCTGAAATAGCATAGAACCTGTAGTCTTCACTAGTTTGAATACCTGTACAAAATGAAAAGCAATTAGTAACTAACTAGAAACAAAGTGTTAAAAGGGTAGCTTTACGAGAAAAATCCCAGAAGGTTACCTCTGTCATTAGGATCTCCGTTCCATTTTCCAGAAGTGTAATTCCACTCCCCGGCCATGCTATCATCTCTTTTCCAGTCAGATATCACCCACCGTCTTTCCCATCCCTCTTCAGTTTCACAAACCGGGAAAAAAAGAGCAAAGTTAGCTAAAAATAAATGAAAATATACTAGTTGAAAACAGTGAAACGTAAAAGAAGGTACAGTTAAAACAAAAGCTTCCTTTTCATGATTCGTTGTAATTTTTCAAAAATGGCTACAGAATCGTAGGAATATAACTAGGCATAGTACAGTATAGTATGTACTGTTTCTGCTTGACTCTTTGATTTTAAAATTATTTCTGTCTAAGAATACACAAACACTTACTCGATTATCAAAATACAATACATAAAAAATAAAAGCCAAATAATAATATTCATTATTATTCCATTTTGATTTCCTCTAAAGCTAAAACAAATTGAAACGCTAGATACTGTAGCATTCACAGCCATTTCTTGAACTAATAAAACCACGTTTAAAATACTAACTACATCTACGAATCAAATACGCAGATCTAATCGAATTAATTGAATTTTCGAACCTAATTAAGCATTTGGGTAAAGAAACAAATTAAAAACAACCGGAACGCCTACTTGAACACATAAAAATCACTGATTAGTTCAAATTAGACCAAAATGAAACATCATAAATCTCTATAAAACAGATTAAAACGACGAAAGCAAGCCGATCAAGAGGTTCACATACAACGGGCAGATTAAGTGACAGAAAGAGGAGGAACGATGAGTCAAGAAAGGATTTACCGTCAAAGCGTTCTTCGAAGAATACTTTAGCAGATGCAGTGGCTGCGAGGGATACAAAGACTGCGTAGAGCAAAATAGGGTTTCTCTTGTGAGTTGTCATGGGAAGGTGCAGAGTGGGAAGGGAGAGTGATGAGAATATCCGTTTATATAGCGGTCGTTGAACTCACTGGTTTTGGGACGGCACGGTGAAAAAATGACGTGGATCGAAGTAGATTATTTGAGCCAATGGATAAACGACGCGTCATTTAGTTATTGACGTGGCGAGAAACTATTGGGAAGCAATTTGACATGACATCTACGAGGGAGTTTAGGGGTTATATTCCGGAGTTTCGGTTGTTTGGACGGTGTTAAACGTGGCAACTGTTTAGTGGCCTATGTTAGAGGGGGTCCACCTACGAGTTAATTTGTGCCTTTTCCCATTTATAAAGGGTAAATTACGAGTTTTGTACCTAAATTATTAACTTTAGTCTGTTTTAGTCCTTAAACTTTCAATTTTTTAAAACTATACATAAAGTTTAGTTTTTGATTCATTTTAATACCCCTTTCAAAATTAATGTTAAGTTTTAAAAAAATGGAAAGTTTAGGTACTAAAAATGATAAAAAAAAATGATAGTTTAGGTACTAAACGCGTTAAGTTTTGAACGGAAGGTACTAAAATGAAACAAAAACTAAACTTTATATAAAATTTTGAAAAAATTAAAAGTTTATGTACTCAAACAGATCAAAATTGAGAGTTTATATATTAAATGCATAGTTTACCCTATTATAAAACATAAATCAAGCGTTTCCAGTAATTTAAAAGTTATTGTTGATATATTGAGGTCTCGAGTTTCAACACTAGATATATAGAGGTGTACAAATATCCAATATCACATGATAAAGATGCTACCTTATACTCGCTCCATATTAATAAAATAATATATATATATTTATTAAAATTCAAACTAAATT